CCTGGATTCCCAGTGTGCTTTGCATCTCTTTCCCTGCTGCATGATGTGATGCAATCAAGATTTCTCAAGAGAACATATCCCACCATGCATTGCTTCCAGCAAGCAGTGATAATGTTACATTGTTCAGACATGTAATTGTAGTTTTGACACAAGGTATTGCATGATTGCAAAAATTGTGTCAGTGCATTGAGGAAGTCCATCCTATGGGCATCTTCAATAAGTAAGTTTACAAACTTCTAGATGGATCTGGTTATTAGAAGTGTGATAGAATGTATGGAAATTCAATACAGAAATAGATTTATTTTTAGTTTTTGACCATAGATACCCTTCAGGTCCTGTGTAAATTCTAGAAAAAGTCTGCATTTTGTACTGGGAATGAATCATAAGATTTATGCTGCTTCTTTAGCTAGAAATCTATTTCTCACGTTAGAAACATATGCTGTTTTGCAATGCAGAATTATTGATTTTATTAGTGATTCACCATCAATTACTATTGGAGACTTGCCGCAAGACGACTTTTCCCTTTGCACATTTGCTGCACCACAAATTAAGCTATCAGCCTAAAACCCTTACTTACAAACAGTTATTACTCCAGTGAATATCAGGAGGTGAATACAAACAGATGGCTGGCAAATGAAAACAGATGGCCAGCCAGGGCAAATTTGGTGAACATTTTAATAACACTAGAGGTTAAGGTATGGGACCCCAATAAATGTAGAGTGAGGAGCCCACACAGTTTTACGTTTTTGACAATAGGCACCCTTAAATAATGGCTGGCGGATTCACTTAAGACCCCCATTCACACTGAGCGATTTGTAGCGTGATTTCCGCTCAAATATCGCTCATTGCAGCTCGTCCAATGCATTTCAATGGAGCTGTTCACATCTCACAGCTCAATATCACCTGTAGCTGAAGCTTGTCGCTCGAACATGACGTATTTTGTGTGATTTGACCCCAACAGGCTTTGATAGACTGCCAAAAGAATTGCTACTTAGCGCGACAAAATGTGCACAATAGTTACTCTATATAGCTCAGCTCAAATAGGCTCAAATCAGCGCTAAAAAGCTGTAGCTCAGTGTGAATAGGGTCTTAAGGATCTGCTAATGTTGCGAGCTTGAACGAAAAGATTTAACAAACGGAGCCTATTGGCTGACCACTCTGTGGGGTTGATTTACTACCCTTATAAAACACACCACGAACATGTATACACCTCTGTAGTGTGTTCCCTCCCAGCAGGATCTATGGGTGGAATCTAAACACCTTTGTAGTGTGTACACACCCAGCAGGTGTGTTGTGCATGAATTACAAGGTGATGTTGTGTAAATTAGCTCTATGTTGTGTTGCTTGCGTTGATGAATGCAGGAATGTAAATGCATGAGCTAACCATTTTTGTCTAAACTGTGAAGCAGCATTATATATGCATCATGTGCATGATTTTTCCATATATGGCATTAGTGGAAATATGCTTTTAGAGACTTTTTGGTTGATAAATAGGTTTTGCTGTGTAAAAATCACACGCACCTAGTGTGTGCGTGTGTTTAGGTTAGTAAATCACCCCCTGTGTGTCACACTCCAGCCAGTTTCTGATTAGCCTATTTTCGAGTCTTATAGGAACTAGTTGGTGGGGATTGCTAGGTTCTGACGAAGGGGGTATCACCCCGGAAACGCATTAACCGTGCCTGTCATGTTAGCAGAGGGAGGATTGCTTTTATCAAAGGTCCTGATGTGATTGACATCTGATGTCCATTCAGCGTAGATTCAAACCTGCATATTACAGGCTTTTTAACATCGGCTGCTTCTACATACCTGTCTTGCATGTTTTAACATTTTCACTCATTAAAGTCTTCTACACTGAGAGGTGCACTGTTTTTTCTGTTTCCTGTATGATAGACCTCAGACACCCTGACTGTTTCAAGTGCTGCCTAGTTGTGAGTAGTGATGGGCTCGGGGGTGTTCGCAGCTCCACGTGCCGAGCCCGCCAGGAAGCTGACAGCGCCGCAACGCCAATCACAGGTACTGAGACATTATGCCGGTGCGCAACTGCAGAGATCGGGAAATGTCTCAGTGCCTGTGATTGGCGCTGCCAGCTTCCTGGCGGGCTCGGCACGTGGAACTGCGAACACGCCCGAGCCCATCACTAATTGAGAAGCCGTGATGTCTGCACACCTTTGGACGATAAACTTTGGTGCCTGTGACAGTGTTGTTAGAATATAGTAAACTGGTACCAATGCTTCAATAAAAAAAGAGGCATGATTGCAAGTAGTGCTCCAGGAATTGGCTTCACCAAAGGTCTGTACTCTTCCTTTAAAACCAGCTGAAATATTCAAGTAAAAAAACAAAAAGAAAAAAAAGAGAGAATTCCATTTGCTCCAACAATCTACGGTGTATTAACCAGCGAAGGATATGCTAATGAGCTGTTAATTTGCACACCTGCACTTGGAACAGCAATTCCAGCTAATTTATTTGTAAATATCGCACAAGTCAGTTGAGAGTTGGTAAAAGGCGAAGTGTTAAAAGTCTGTTCTAATTTTATGAGACTGAGATGGTGTTTAAAGCACTGAACCTCGAGTGTGATTTAGAACAATCTGGAGAAAAGGGCAGTACGCGCTTTTACCCGCAGTGGCCAATCAGATCTTTTCTTGCCATTTCTCACAAGCGCTAGCTAGAAAATAGACAGCTGGATTTGATTAGTTGCTCGGTTTGCTTTTTCTTGTTATTAATAAAGCCCATCTCTGGGCAAACAAAAACAAGTACCCCTCACTGCAAGGATTAAAGGAGAACTATGAGGTGAGTGCTTTTCACTCAGCCTCATAATCTGAGCCGACCTGTGACAATGAGACTGTCACAGGTCGGCTCAGTAGATCGGGAAGTGAGCGAACACATACCGGCGCTCGCTCACTTCTTGATCTATTCGTGCAGAGAGCCGTGACTGTCACGGCTCCCTGCAGGGATTCGCCCCCTTCCCCTGTCCGATCCTCCAGCGCTGACTGGCGGAACGGACGGGGGAGGGGGTGGATACAGCTTGCTCTGCCTCTAGATAGGCAGAATACGCAGTCACTCATGCAGCTGGGTGGATCCAGACAGAATTGTTGGGATCCGTTCTGGCTGCGGGGTCTCAGTATACCGCGAGCTGTAGCTCGCGGTATACTGAGCTCTGCAGTCTTTGTTCTTATATTGTAATGAAGTTGAGTAGCACGATCCTATCAGACCACTTTAGCCCACATACTCCCTATATGATCAAGCACTGTCCTATCAGCCCTCTTTAGTCCACCTACCCCCTGTATGATCATAAGGTAATGCAGTTGAGAAGCATTGTCTTATTAGACCTCTTTAGCCCGCATACCCCTGTATGATAATATAGGCAGCCGTGCATAACCAGATTTCAACTTGGCATACCAAGTCTTTTCAACAACCATAAATCTTTAAAATATAAAAAGTACAGTCCTAATGGTACAGCGCCTAAAGCCATCAGTATACTTTTTTTTTCTAAAAGGTCCTGCATTCAAGCCCTCAAAATGAAAGCCAACTTCTCTGTGGTTTCAAGCGTCACCCTCTCTATTTTTCAGAAAGAGAGGACACAAGGCAAAGAATCACATACCAAGAGACTGCAGTCCCAGTGCAAAATACTCGCTGATCAAATTTGCAATGTATTATATAAATCCTAGGATAAAATGGAAAAAGAGTGGACATTCTGACTTCAGCTAGTTGCGGTTTTCCTGAATGCCACCAGCAGTACACTGATTTTATTTTTTGCCATTTATTAGGATCTGAAACCTAGCATGAGTTTCTTTCTATTAGAAGTTCTCACACAGACTAAGGGATTCCCGTTTATATATAGCAGCAGAGATGTCAGTGCAGACCTGCATCATCCCTTAACACCAAGACATATCATTAAATTTTAGAAGAGAGCAGTGTTGTCTAGATATATTACTCTGCTCTGTGTGGTCTTCCTTTATTAATAAAAGGTCAGATGGCTGTGTGTCTACTGGAGCCTGTTGGCAATCCCCTAAAAAACAAATTGCTCCATTGTCAATTACCTTCAAGCTGTAGCAGTGGCTCTATATATTACATTAAATGGTCATGGTGAGAAGGTAAATCCTCATAAAGGCTGCACTGTAGCTCTTCATATTAACAGCCACTATGGGCCTAAATGATCTGGGAGAAAAAAAAGTGTATGCAGTGTTCATTGTGAGCAATACGAATTTTATGTTATTGCTTAAAGCTGAAGTTCAGTCTGCTTATATATTGCCTTCCTTGCCCCACCAATCAACATGCTGCATTGCATAAAGAAGCACAGAAATCCAGTAATGACATCACTATGTCTAGAATAAGGTATTTACTGAAAATTGAGATCTTAAATTTAAAAAATAAAATATATTCCCATTTTTGGCCCGTGGGCCACATCTGGCCCTTTGGCTGCCCCTGTCTGGCCCGTGTTCCGAACGTGGACCATTAGCCGACTTGTGCTCTGTTAGGCCTGCCTGCTGGGGGATGTGCCAGCTTCCAAGGCCGGTGCATCCACTGCAGGTTATAGCCCAATGCATGCCCCTCCTCTTCAGTCATTGGTTGCTAAGATTGCTGGCATCCTAGCAAACAGTGACGTCAAATGTGTTAACCGCATTAAAAGGAGAACGGAAGAGTATCTTCATCAATCCTTTCCTGCAGCCTGCTCCACTTCCCAGCTCCTGCCTATGGCCCACAAACAAAGTAGGAAAATATGGTATGTGGTGACAATAATATAAAGGGGCACATGAAAGGGGAAAAGCAATGTAGGGGGGTACTCCAATGGGGACAACTAATACTTAGTTTTCCCCATCAAGGTGCCCCATACAATAACTACAAAGATAAGGGAGCACTCTAATGGGGACATTGAATTTAAGGGGACACTCTGATGTGGATAATGACAGTAACATGGCTGAACTAAAGATCATAATCCTTGAGTTAAAAGTTTGTGAATTGTTGCTTATGCCTCAGTAAAATGGAAATAATTCGTAACTTACCTCCATGCACATAGCCGTGGAGTGTACAATCCGAAGGCCCCACCAGGTGGATCAGGCTGGACTGACTATATCCAACTGTGTACGGCTCTGTAAGAAAATCAAAAAAGAGGATATAAATTTCTGAACATAATACGGAGTTATAAACTTACAATGAAACTCTAAATGAAATGAAGTTTTATAAAACAGCTACAAGCACTATTAATTGAATGTCCCTACAGCCCATTAAAGTGACATTAAACCCTCAGATTTTTAACATAAACCAATACTGTAATGTGTGCCTTACTGTAATCCATGGTAGTTTCCCTTCTCTTTGCTGCTCTTCCTTTTAAATCTGTATCTGTTCTCATGCTCTGCAAAACTTCTGTTTTGCAGCAGACTGCCTTGTCTCTGGAATGGCTACATGGTGTCTGTGTGTACGTTTGCAACCTGAGCCAGCACTACAGGAAGAGGCCCTGAGCTGCAAAGTGAAGTTCTCCCCAAGCATGAGAAGACATGAGGATTTAAAAGGAAGAGCAGCAAGGAGAAGGGAAACAACCATGGATTACAGTAAGGCACACATTACAGTATTGTTTTATGTTAAAAAAAATCTGAGGGTTTAATGTCACTTTAAGTGCTCCTTGCTGTTGGAAGATGACTGTATTATTTCTCTTATATGAATGAAATGCCCAGTGAATTCACTAAAATGAATGTAGTATTCATTATATGCACTGCAGAATAACAGCTTGGTTATGATGGGCACCACTAAAGACAAGTGAAGGATCACAGGGATCCCAACCTGAAAGAAGCACTTTCAGGGAGGAAGAGCAGATTAGACCTTTCCCGGAGCTTCCGGGAGAGTTGAGATGTCTGGGATCAAGTATTGGTATCTACAGCATCGTGGGTACCTAAAAAGCACTTAAAAGCCTAAGGGACGGCCATACACTGATAATTGTTTCTTGTTCACGTTGATAAAAATGAATTGCGGACTAGAGAAGTAAGAAGCTAACCAAGAAAAAATGCTCAATTACTTCAGCCACGCTCAACAGCGTGACTTGGGATATCTTCCCTTCCCGGCTATTGTATTCTGACATTAGCAGAAGTTCAACAATCAGCAGCATACTTGTTCTGGGTCATTAACTCAAAAGCATTGCAACTAAAGGGGTCACTATGACAACCAGGAAACTATCATTTCAAAAGGAAAGGTCAGACTCCATGCTTTTCCCGATGAAAGGTTTTCTTCAAAGGCCTGCCGGTGTAAAAATGGCATTTACCCAGAAGTCCTCTCTCCTTCTGGAAATAGATATTTGCATGCGTTTCCAGGGAAGTAACTGATGCCATCCCACCTATTCTTTATATTCCAGTAATTATATAATAAAAGAGGACTGGAGCACCTGTCTAATGTCTTTGTACCTTTTCATAATGCCGATTGAACATTATAATGCAGCAGGCCATGCTACAATAACCATATATTCCTATCTGCATAATTAGAAGGCTTGTAAAGAAACCTGCTGTTCCAATAACACAGATCTGCAGTCATTATACTTTCATGAATAAATCACTCCCGTTCACTGTCTGAAAGGTGCGACCGGCTGAGATGTCTGCTAGAACCCGGACGGTTTCCTGTACTGTAATTGTCTTCTTTGCATGATAAGTTGCTTAGTCCAATACAATCAGAATGGAATATTTAAGTCTGATCCTGATACATGAACAAGTATTACTTGAATCAATTAATGTGCATGCACCACTGAGCACAGCGAGCGCTGGGCTAAGAAGGCCTGTGACATTGACTGACACAGTGACTGAATGCAGACAGGGCTTGTCTACTGTCCTGAGAGTTAAAGTTGAGCTCCAGGAGGATATAAAAGTCACAGTTGGATGGAGCTCTGTATTCATTAATACATCATTTAATGGATTTTTAAATGGAAACAGTGCAAGTATGCAAGTATGACCTGGTATCAGCCTCTTGCACAGCAGAAATTGAGTGGGAGAGGAAGAAGCAGCATAAGGAGCCAATCAGTACATGTGTTGACAAGAAACACCCTGGCAGGATGAGAAAGTAGTGTGACAGAGAGAGAGACATTACTGTGCTGCTTCTCCTTTCACTGTCCAGTCACAGGCTGGGGGAAGCCACTACTCAAAATAATATGGAAGATTTTATCTTTGGCTCAGAGGCGGACATAACATTTGTGCAGACTGTGCAGGGCCCTCTAGGACTTGGAACTCCATTTTTAGTAGATGTGGTTCAGAAGGGTGCTGGGAACTCCTCCAATCTTCATAAAGAATTGGGACATTGTTCAATTCTATCTAGTTGTGAGATGATACAAAATGAATAAAACCTTTTAGATGGCCGGTAGCGGAGTTGGGAGGGTATTGGTTATGCAATAAAAAGAAACTGACTCTTGTTCAGGTCGGTTCTGCTCTGTGTATAAGAAGAGCTGACTGTGAATGAACAAAGGGAGATCATCCGCCCCACCTCTCCCCTCGTCCATTCACAGAACGCTTTGCATTCTGATCTTTTTGGTCAACACAAGAAGAAATGCAGCATATAGGACTCCCAGTCCCGTGATAATTACGCTGCATTATGCATTGCAAAGAGCTTTCACATGATGGCGCTGGACACGTCGGCACATAGGAACTTAGTCTGTAGCGGCAATGTGCAGAGGAAGGTGTCTGCATTCCACATACAGTGCGACCATGTAGAGCCAGCGCAGCCACCCTAACAAAGGAATTCAGCTAAGCAGAGTTTTACCACATACATTTTCGCATGTACAATTGGACATTACCATCCAAAGTTATTTAGAGGACCACTTATGAAAATAAGGACTATTATATTCTATTTTTTGGTTTGAGTTCAGTGAGGCTTTAATCTTTACAAAAAACAAACATGCAAAATCCACTTTTACCATTTAAATCACAACATACAAGTGTACATGCAAATATCATACAATGCCGGTACCGACTACTCACCTTTATTTTGTCTGTCTGAAGCAACAACATTGCAAACAAAGAATATATATTATTGTTAAAATCATCAGTGCGTGTTTTCAGCATCAGTCATCGTTTTTTCTAACTCAATGGTTTGAATTTAAAAAAAAATGGTTTTCTTTTAAATTAATAGATAGTATAAAATCGGTATGAAGCATGGAAAGCACAGGAGATGTGAATACAACTGATGATTCAGCAATGTGAAAGGAACTTTAGTGATTGCTGAAGGGAATGGTTCCACGTTTGCCTCATATGCAGGAAAAAAAAAAATAACAAATGTGTATGAGGAACGCCACAAAATGTTTTGGTGAATGGCGACTGTTAAAACAGAACATTGCATTTGATATAATTACACTGGAAGAAAGAAACGTAACAATAGAAGAGTGACGGCAGAAAAAGATCAAGTGGTTCATCAAGTCTGCACCTATTTTGATTTCTGTTTTAAAACTCAATAGCCACAAAGGATATAAATCCACATTTGGTACACCAAATGCCTTTGCAAGCCAAGATATTAAATTGTTAGAATAATGGTGACATCACTGTGATGTACATAGCCTGTGCAGAGAGCAGAGGGACCCAGCAGGACCCGCCCACTACAGAAAACTACAGGAGGGGTGGAAACAAGACCACTCACCCTATACATGGAGAGAGAGCAGCAGTGAGCGGTCTTTATTACAGGAAGTTGCACACCAGATACTGCACAGATCTGGAAGAATTACACAAACCTCATCAAGATTCAATTCAGAATATACATGACTGCTGTATTCACACAATATTGGCCTATCCCAAAGCTCAAATGTAATCTTTTTTTTACTTAGTATAGAATAGATCTATAGAAAATACAGGCACACTGTTTAAACCTATATCTGTATGAGATACAGTATAATGCAGTATATTCAGGTTGACAGCTGAGAGGACATAACGTTGCTGAACCTACACCTGACCAACTAAAGCAACCCCAGATCATAACACTGCCTGAAAATGACCTTTCTTTTTTTCCAACCATTAAAAAAAAATTGTAATGCTTTTTGTAATTATTTTTTTATTTTTGTTATTTTACTGTTGGGGGGCTCTGGGGAAATATCAGGGGTCTAAACCCCAGATATTTTCCTTTAAAAATAGAAAAAGAGATTGAGGACATGATTTAGGACATTGAGTCCTAAATCTCCTTTTCTGCAGCTCCTGTTATAAATGAAGAGTGATGTAGAGCACTTCCTGTTTATTCATAACTGGGGACACAGTAAGCTTACTATGTCCCCAGTTGTTTAAAAACATTATTTAATTCCTGGTCGCCGAGTGCTTGTAAGCTGCTCTCCCATCCTGACGTGGAAAGTTACAAGGACAGCATTTATCTCCTAGTCACACTGTGACACCACCAGGGAAGACCATCGGATTCATCCCCCTAGGACATAACCGTCAACTAACCCCCCTCTTTGACCAACAAGTTAAGAATACACCGCCTCCACCTCCTCGTCACCCTCGTTCAACAGTACAACAGGCAAGTAAAGAAGAACGCACCACCCCGGCTTCCTCGCTATCTTCAATCAACAGGACAAACCCCCCCCCCATCCTTTAATTTCCACCCGTAAGATCTGTAATACAATGAAAGCCAAAACTCTCCCTTCCCGAGCAAGGACACCCCGCAACACACCCTCAAACATACCACCACTTCTCCCCACCAAATCACATCCCCCCAATATTGAAAGCTTAATGAGGAAACAATTCCTCAAACTACAACAACTGACCTTTGACAAAAATACACAATGGTGGGACATCCAGTACCTACAAAAATACTTAGACCTAAAAATCACCCCCAGGGGTCTAAGAATTAAAAATCGCTGTGACTTTTTAGACGAAGACTTATGCCAAAAATGGGATTGGGTGGCTGAGTTCAGCACGGCAAAATGGATAGACATAATACTGGAACAGCGACAAAGAAAACTAACCAAACTGAATACAGACATAGAAACACTCTTAAAAAACATGACCAATGAATTTAAGACCTCTCCCCTATTCCCTAAATGGCTCTCCACCCTAGAGAAAAATAAAATCAAAAACACAGAGAACATTGTCCAGATCAAATCCAAAAAATTATTCTGTGACCAGTCAGATTATGCAGTGGGGAACATTTTCAACTGGAAGAACTCTGGTGGAAAATACACCCCACCCTCATTATTGTCACTCATAATTACCCCATCTGACCACATAGCAGACCTAACTTGGGATTAATCCACTGCCAAATACATTAAGAACACTCCAAACATAAGGGCAAAGCCCAACCAGCCAAACACCGACAACATCCCCCCAGACCCAACTATTATCACTCCTGTTTCTCTCCCCACACTCGTGCCCACTATTCCCCAAAAGACTCACGAGACTCCTAATCATCAGGGCACAGACCATGACCATCCCACTGTCCTCCAACCCAGACTGAGCCCACATGTCCTTTTGACGGCTGCACCCAGCGGGCATACTTCACTCGAACCAGTTATCAACTCAGAGCTCGGTACACCCTTAGTCGCAGAATCAGAACATTTTTTAGAGGTTGGCCACCTGCGCCCACAAAAAAGAAAAAAACCCGAAGAGGGACTAGGGGAGGAACACGAAGCAAGGGGCATCACAAAAAAAGAACGATCACACCAGCACAATCCTCAGTCAGAATCTTCAACCTCTCAGACCACACCCTGACCGCACATGAAACAACACTACTCAACAAAGGTCTGAACTTTGCACCTGACATTAGACCCAATTCCTTTTCTTTGTTCAAAGACCTGAACAAATTCATTCGCACTTTGACCCTTAAAAGACATTACACCAACACTCTACCACCAGATACTCCAGAGGAATTAAGTTATCCTTCCGTCTCTGCCTCCATGTCAGAAGACCCCAATAGTGACTCGGACACCTTAGCAATCTTAGAAGAGTTAGCTGACCCGTCACACCAACTAAATTTTGAGCTAGCGGAGTGGCTCGACCCCGACATTATACACAGTTCCTTACGCCCCCCTTCCAAATTCTACCCCCTCAAATCTAAGGGTTGCAATATAGAAACCTTCTATCAAGCCACCTACGCTGAATTCACTAAACTTTGCAATCCACCCCAGGGAAACCCAGGTTCCACCAAAATGAAAAAAACTAATCTCTCTACCAAAGAAAAATCTGCATTGAAAAACCTCACTAAAAATGATAACATCTCTATCAGACAAGCGGATAAAGGAGGAGGAATAGTCATTCAGAACCGCGCCGATTACATCGCAGAGGCCCATCGCCTCTTATCCGACACCACCACCTACGCCAAACTCCCCTCAGACCCATTGCCCCAGTTCCTAGCAGAACAGACAAAGCCTTCAATGACGAGGTATTAACCAAAAAAGAAAAACTGGTGTTGTGTCCCCCACAGCCCAATACACCCTTTTTTTACCATTTACCCAAAATACATAAAAATGAAACCACACCCCCGGGGAGACCAATTATCTCCAGCATCAATAGTCTCACCAGCGGCCTGTCCAAATACATAGATGAGTTCTTACAACCCTTTGTGGTCACCTTACCCTCCTACTTAAGGGATTCAGGACACCTCATAGACACCATCCCATCCTGACTCCTCTGCCTGTCACACGAGGCAGTGGGGGAGGAGAGCTTGGCCTCCTGTGACAGGCGGAGGAGTCAGGATGGAGAGCAGCTTACAAGCACTCAGCGATCAGGAATGAACAGGAAGTGGCCCCCTTTGGTGGTCAATTTAGAAGTGGCCCCTTATATTGATGGTCAATGAAGAAGTGACCCTTCACATCGGTGGTCAATGTAGAAGTGGCTTCCTCACATTGGTGATCAATGTAGAAGTCACCCCTTTCATTGGTTGTCAATGTAGAAGTCACCCCTTACAATGGTGGTCAAATGTAGAAGTGACTCCTCACATTGGTGTTTAGTGGAAAACTGGTGGTCAGTGTAGGTGGGAGATCAATCCACCATTGCTCACTGCTTAAGGAATCCCTAGAACCCTGGAGAAATACTGAAAGAGGGGGACTCCACTATTCACTTCTGCACCTTAGCAGCTTCCCGTGTTACCTGCCTGAATGTTGGACCAACAAAGCACATTGTCAGCCTGCCGAAGTCACCTCAGTCCTCTTCTACTCCAAGTACCTGAAGCCATCTTAAACTGACAGCACCGAGCAAAGCAACAGAGTCCTGCTTTGCAGGGTATTACATGGGATGCTCAAGACAGATGCAGGGACCCATTCTAAAGCTATGTAAAAACAGCTTTTTCCATGAATACCTAACTTAAATTATACAGTGGTTTTGCACACCTGCCTGGACTTCAGCTTTGATCACTTGGCCTCTGTCAATGAGGAAGGCTGGAGTTTAAAAAAAGAGTAGCCAGCAGATTAGCATGCCACTCCTCCAAGTCCCTTTGGCAGAGACCATGTGACACTCTTCAGACACACTCTTCAGACATTGCAATTTTACTTTTTCTACAATAACAGAGCGTATCAATTATAACGATGGAAACTTCTCAAGCATTCATAGGTCTCTTTCAAATGTTTCTGATCACGAGACACAAGTATTGCAAACCGTAGAGTGTGCTGATCGAGCACAGAACGCTTTACAGTGCTACAGGAGTAACCAATATTGTCAAATTGCTTCTCCGTGTCAATACCCCCAGGGATTGCAAAACCAATAAAATGTGGCGCCAGCTGTATGGGAGATATGGTTACCAAAGATATCTCTGGCTTCACTACCGAGGTAATAAAAAGCTTTATTTGAAACATTAGATCAGAGGCCTGCGGTTTCTGTTTACCAGTGTCTTTAAAGAAAATAAACAAGGCCGAGTGTCTTGCCGGCTGTGTTTGCACATGCAATAGGTTTATAGCCAACGCTTTGCGTTACAATGTTTTATTTGGAAAAGACGTGTTCCTTCTGCTGCTTTAAAGTGGACCTGTCACAAAGTCAACTCTGGGAATTCATAAGGAGTGTCCTAGACACGGTTCATAATTCTGTTGCTTCTCCGCATGACAAACATCGGTGCCTGCAACAGATCCATGTACCTGACGGAAGTAGGTACATGAATTTGTCAAATGGAGGTGTAGTGGGGACAGCACTCATGCCAGAGTGTCCATACTGTTGACACTCCGACATCAGTCAATGTTCAGTCACCAGACCGTACAGTGTCATTGGTTGCTAGGACGTTGTTGACTGTTGCCAGGACTAGGTCGGCTGCTCAACATCATTGGTTGTTAGGGTGCTGTTAGCTGTGCACCCGACAGCGTACTAGCAACCATGGACTCACCCTGAACCCCATTCAGCTGTCGGCCGGGAGATGGTGCGGCCAACACCTCAGTGTAAATACAGCGGCCAAAGTGACGTTGGCCACATACGGCATCCCCCAACCCTAACGGGCCCCTGCTTACCCAAAATGCAGGGTGCATCTTCTAAAAGCAGCCTGTTATTTGAATTTAGTGTGGCTGTGCATGGCTTCACCTATCCATAAGATCCAGGCTCCATCAATGACAAATATTACAAGTCCCATCAGCCACCGTGTTTATTCAGAACTCTCTCTCTCCTTGTGCAGGGTCACTGGTCTTTTCTCCGCCCCCTCCTGTAATAAAGACCGGTCACTGCTGCTCTCTCTCCTTGTGCAGAGAGACTGGTCTTGTTTCTGCCCCCTCCTGTAGTTTTCTGCAGACAGCCTGTAGTGGGTGGAGCCTGCTGGACCCCTCCCACAGCTCTGCTTTATGCACAGGCTATGTACAGCAAAATGATGATGTCACTGGTACTTTTACAAGATAATATCAAAATGAATTCCTATCCTTTGTAGCTATTAAGGAATATATTTAAATAAACATTTTTGTGTGCCCGTAGTTGAGCTCGCTTTAAAATGATATATTTTACATTTTCTGCACTTAAAAAAAAAAAGTTCAATTCTGAATGTATAAAAACACATTAGATACGTCTTTCATTCTGATATCAACAAATGGAAAAGAACAAAGATGTCTTAACACAACATTATCTGTCTGTGTGCAAACCAAAAGAAACCATTTACCCCTTGTGAAATGTTGCTAGGCAACCACTGCGCAACTGCCCAAAACCCTGCCAGGAGCTCGAAGTTTAAAGCCACCTCAAAATAAAAAAGAGAGGGAACCGTGCAGAAAAATCAGAACTTCCATTCAGAAGTGTTATCAACTTAAAGCCATTCATCCGTCATAAAATTACTTCGGCTTCGTCTCTTGTCTCAGTTGCTGGAGTGTTAACATCTCAGATAGCAGGAGTGTGTGATGCTACATTTGGATCCAACAACATTATAGAGGTGTCTGAATTCCATCCATTGAGCGGCAAGAAAAAGAGAAGACAATGCTCGGCAACATGAAAATGGTTTGTCCGGATTTGTCTCTTAAAGAGACCCTGTTACCGATCCTGACTCTGCCTTGTTAACAACGTGTTCGTTGAGCTGTGTTGATCCGTACAGATCAAAGCAGCTCAATGGAAGAGCACATAGAAAGCAATTGTTTAATTAATTTTTTCCTCTTCACACCTATAACGCTGTGTTGAGGTGCCCTTTGTAAAAATGTAGACATGTCACATATTTTTCGCAACACACACATTCCGGAATGTCTCTGCTGCAGTGAATAGAAGTGAATACAATGTAATTTTGTGACATTTCAATAGTTTTATTTATTAAAATATGGTAAACAGTGTAACAATGAGAAGCACTATCGCACTGTGTTTTTTTTTTTGGTAGAACATTACTGAAATATCACAATTTGCATTTCATTTAGTTCTATGGGCATAGTGGGGTGCAAGGCGGTTGTATGGCATCGCATCCCGCTGCGCTGAAAAAAGTACAGCATATCATATTTTTTTTTTAGCGCAAAACCACCGACGGTGGTGTTAACCAATCCCGCCTGTGACAAGGCATATTGCCTTGTCTTGCATTGGGGCTGCGATGCCAACGCACCTGGTGTGAATGGACCCTTACTCAATAAACCAAAAATGATACATCCTTGTATCAAATTTTTTAACTATTTTATGTTATACCCATATTCAGGGTGTAACATGAAACTTGGTCACATTTACTAACCCCAACCCCCCAATTTCAAACCATCTACCACATATTGCTTCTCCCTGCAGGATCTAGCTGCATCATCTATTCTCAGGGATCTGTGAACGGGAAGACTACAAATTCCATCTACCACTGTGGCAGAGGGACATGGAGATCTCCCCAGCACAAGTGCCTTTACGTCATCCCACTTGTAGTCCATTGTCTTCTTTCTCCAGCCCCATAACAGAAGGTCCATACCTCCATGTGGACCTAGAGCTAGGGGTAAACAGTGCAGGAACGTGTGCACTGCACCTGTGACACACTGATCACGGTTGCAATGCATTGCAGGTTTGAATTGCGTATCACGTATTGCGGAACCTGGCCTTGGGGCGGCAGGGAGAGTAAATCCGGCCCTGAAGGTAGTGCTCTGGCAAGACATGGGCACCTATCACATCAGATGCCTCTACCGGAGGCAACCTACACAATCGAGAACCAACCTGCACAGAGATTGGTACACCTAACTGTAACTGTGCCCACCACGCGTCACAGCATAGAAAGAATGCACTGCACCCAGGTACTAAATTTAAGTACTAAAGACCTACCTCTTTAATATACAGCCTCAGCCCTGTTAAGCGAGGGTCAACCAAAAATAAAATGTTACAAGCAAGGCCAATATGGGACAGCAGAGGAATCTCATAAACAAGAAGATTATTGAGGTTTTCCTTGAATTTTTTTTTTTAAGCGATCATGAATCATGCTAAGTTGCTTACAGATACGATTTGAAAATTTTTACTTTTTAAGACTGATTACTAAAAACATATTCCCAGGAACACAGATTATGTACAAAGGGCGTGCGTAGTTTCCAACATATGGCTTTTGTAATATATACAGTATACATAAATCCTTAACATAAGGCCCGTGCCGCAATGTGCAAATATCACATTTTTAAACAATTATAAGGAATCTTCGTATCTCTTTTTTCCCTCCTCTTCTTGTCCTTCATTCTTGTACTGAAAATACAACAGATGATTTTTTTTTCTCAGCAAAATCATATACCGGTATACTCACTGATCAATGTGGATAATAACTAGCATCACAGGGATTCCACCACTACAGTCCCCGGGCTATGAAAGAAACAGCCCCTACGGGTAGCGGTCAGCATGTACACTGGGCTCACCAACTGTCAGTGACAGCTGACTTCCAGCACTAGGCCCAGGAGCCGAAACAATCAGCTACTGGACTTAGGATCTTGCTCCATAGGAGCTCTTGTAGCAGATCACTGTAAATAATATTGGTAGTCATAAAGAAAAAAAGGTACCGGTGCATCCCTACTTCCACATTCTGTTTACATTTGAAGTCATGGGTGAAGTCACAGCACTTGCTCTGACTCCAGAAGTCCAGGCAGAGCTGAAGCATCCCTTACCCGCCTTTCACTCTGCAGCAATTCCCTCCTATAGTGATCTATTGCTGGCTGATTGCAACCAGCAATAGAACACTGTTAGAAGAAATCTTTTGCCACACAGTCACCCCGTGAAAAAAACAAAGTAAAAGAAAAAGAAGTTTTGTCGTTTGATAAACTTTTAACTCCTCAGGATCTACCAAAAACATAATCAGTTTGAGGTAGAGTAACCCTTTAAAAAATATAAATAAAAAGTTGGCAAGCCTGCTCCTTAACATGCTTGGCAGAATGAAAAGCTTCTGCTTGGTGAATCACAGATGTAGCACGGTCACACTTCTCTCCAGAAAAAAGCAAAAAAATGTTTGAGGTCGGGATTTTTCCAAACGGAAAATAAATAACACGTTGCCAGCCTTGTGACTTTTTCTCTTGCAGAAATCACATTCACACAAGGAAAGAAAAAAAAAAAAGAAGAAAGGTGTGAAAACTTCAAAGAAAAAAAAACAAAAGATCAAGTAACAGCTATTGCGCATTACATTTGTCAGAAGAAAAATATCGCTACTGAAAGTAATATGTTAGAAGTGCTCATTAAAGGGTCTGTCCACTTTCTAGAGAAATTTGCATCAAAGAGATATTTGGTGAATGATTGGAAAAATAGGGGGGCTAACAGAGCGGGGGGCCTTTTTATTACATAGATCAGATTGCATGGTGAAATCTGTCTTAATTCCTAGGACACATATTCATTTACAAAACTGTTTCCAACACTGTCCATCTTAAAAAAAAGCTTGTCGTTCTGAACATTAATCAACTCAATGTAGAAATATGGCCATTAAGGTATACTCACACAGTGGCGTCACAAGTGGGGCGCAGGGGGGCGGGGTGTCACCATTGGAGGGGTGACACCAAAATTACTGACAATTGGTGTCACCTCCTATCAAAAGTCGGGCACTCGGTGCCGGACCGAGAGCCCGACAGCGTCAGGAGAAAGGAGGGGACCTAGCGGCATACCTCATCCCGCCGGGTGAATGCCCCCTCCTCTCTCTCCCGGCGTCCATCACCAAGATGGCTGCCGGCAGGCATCAATAAGGCAACCACGCATGCGTGATGACGTCATGGCGGGGGTGTCACTGTGTATAGGACGTGATGACTCACTGGACCTTAGACCGCTGCAGCAGAGAGGGGAAGAGGCTCCAGTGACCAGTTTATGAGCAAGCCGGCTCCAAGACAAAACCGAGCACTTAACACCCAGGGCAGGGGTAGCCCCACAGCAAGGGTTAAAAACAAGTTTTCTGGGAAATCTGCTTTAAATATAAGTGCAACTCCCCTTAGAGTTTTCTCTTATTCCAGCAGCAAAGTCCCAGAAATACCTGTTGATCCTACCAGTGAATCCCACCCAATGCAGCTTCCTGTGATAGAGTGGCAACAATACTACACTGCTCCCGAATTCAGAATAGAGTTGCCCTTCTCACGAAGGCTGTGCCTGCTCGTACTACAATGGAATTTAAAAATGTTGCAGGGGCATGGTTATTAGCATTGTCACTGCTGATTCACAAGCCTGTAGCTTGTCAAGCAGCAACCTGCCCACCAGTTTTCTGGATTGACAGGACTGCCTCTGTCACTGAAACCCTCCCACTGTTTTCTGCAGTGTCTGGGAGGGGAAACGTGTAAGACACAAATGAATAAGGATTTGGCTCAGTCATGGAAGTGACAAGGGTACATCATTTATGGCAAAATCAACAGGCATTTGCTGTACTTGCTAAAAATATAATCATCCTGAAATGAAAACTAATGTAGTCACCACATCTGGTAAGCTGCAATATATTACAGTTTTGTTCTTGGGTTTAGGTATCCTTTCGTATAGAGTTGCCTCCCTTGTGGCTTTAACAGCCTCCCACATTCTGGGAAGTCTTTGCCCAATATATTGGAGGGTGTCTAGTGGAACGTGTGCCCATTTGGCCTAAAGAGCAATTGCGAGGTTAGTGATGTTAGGTAGAAGACCTTGGTCACAATTGGTATTCATCTCAAACATGTCCAGAAACGTTGAGGTCAGGGCTCTGTGCACCCCACTTGATTTCCTCAACACCAAATTCATCAAACCATGTCTTTATGGAGCTGGCATTCTCCACAGGGGCCCAGTTATGGTGGGGGAAAAGGGCCTTTCCCAAACTGTTGCTACAAGTAAGGAAGCACACAATTATCTAAAATGGTTTTTTATATTTTAGCGTTAAAAATAACCTTCACTGGAAACACCTGCACTCAATCAATCGGAGGGGGTCCACATAATAGTGTATATTGCCTGCATCAATCTTGATGTCCTTGCATGACAAACTACCAATGGTTCCCCAGTCTAATGTTTAAGGGCCTGTTCACATGAGATCAGGTCCTGATCAGGTGCTGATCAGCAGACGTGGAGCTGCTGATGGTGCGTTTTTGACGCGTTTTTGATGCGTTTTCGGTCCGGATGCTGACAGTTAATTTGTTCTCAACGTTGATGACATCATAATAAGTGGAGCAAGAATACATTTTTTCTTTTTTTTCCCCCTTAGCTGCATTGCATTGCGTTTCCGTTCCGTTTTCGTTGCGTTCCCAGACCGGACAAAATGTGACATGCAGTATTTTTTCTGTCGTAAGCTGAACGGACTGCGCACGTGAGAACTGTAGCCCATAAAACACATAGGGATACATTGGGATGCATTTTGAGTGCAGCAGCGTACAGAGCCGGTCAGCACACAAAACGGACGTCGTGTGAAGAGGCCCTAAAAGAGTGCCTATCCTATAAAGAGTAGCTAAACCCAGGGACAAAAAATTTACATAATGCAGCCTAGCCCGGATTTACTCTCTCTCTGCTGCCACAAGGCCAGGTTCCTCAATGCGCCCCTCTCCCCAACAACCCCCGCCTCCAATAGAGAATGGCAGCCAGATGGCGTGGGCGGCAAGGTTAGTTATATTTTTTTTCTTTACTTTTGTATCACTTTTTTCATTTGTTTTACATTTTATTTATTCTACTTTTTAAAATTTTTATTTATCTTATTATGTTTTATACATTTTTGTATCTTATTATTTTTTTATTTAATTATTTTTTCTTTTTCTTTTAAAACCTGTCACCTCCAATATAGGAGTTCTAGCACTGTGCAACTGCATGTCCCAGGCGATAGGAATTCCCCACCCCTGCCGCCCCTCTGCCCCCTGTCACCCCGAGGCAGGGCCTCGGTTGGCCTTGCACTTTTTGAAAAGATATAACAAAACACTTTAATTTTATATATAACACAGCAAAATTAGGTAAATAAGAGAAGTATATTGCTAGGTTTTATACAACCTTTAACAATTGGAATTATTAGTTATTAGGTCTGCCATCAACTGGTAAAGGGGCATGTGACCTCCCAACTCCCACTTATCCTACAAACATAGGACTACATTTCTATTATTAAAAAAAAATGTTTTTAATTAGCCAACTGGCACCAGTCTGCCTTCAGGAAAGTGAATCAATATTTAGTTGTAATGGAAAATAGGATGTAGATGTTAAGATATATCGCAGGATACAAATGCCGTGATAATTGAACCACACGTGATACAAATTGCTGTTATACACAAATCCCTCGTGTTTACAGCAGTGGAAAATTTTCATACAATTTTCCACCAATGTGTCTTTATTTCTGCTTAGCTATCAAGTTCTGCAATGGAAAATGGGAGTCAGGCAGCCAAAAAAATAAATGATCAGACTGGGACTTGAGGGCCAAAGTGGATTTTCGATTTCCACTGGAAGAATTTGGTCTTACTCTGGCATTCTCGCTCTGGATTTATGCCTGTGCTAAGGTCGAACAATAAAATTCTGTTTAAACAGAAGAAATTCCATTTGGTTACAACAGACAAAATGGGAACAGTTCCTGCTCTGTATATGATAAATCAACTCTGTCCTGCAAAGATCACTCATGGGGGGGATTCATTCTCACTTCCTATTAATTCAAAATAAATGAATACAATTAAACGATGATGCAAAACTTTCCACTGCAAAGACTGAGTTTGTAGACTGACTGTGTGTGGGGTTGGTACTATACTGAATACAGACAAATACCTATATCCCAGTCTCTCACACAAATATATGTAGAGAGGGAGGTTGTGTGAGAGATGGAAAATAAATAGGTGAGATACATAGAAAGAGCGTAAAGGAGATGGAGACAGAAATTGAGAAAAGGGGGAAAGAGAGGCGAGGGGGAAAGAGAGGCGAGGGGGAAAGAGAGGCGAGGGGGAAAGAGAGGCGAGGGGGAAAGAGAGGCAAGGGGGAAAGAGAGGCAAGGGGGAAAGAGAGGCAAGGGGGAAAGAGAGGCAAGGGGGAAAGAAGGGAGAGGGAGAAAGTAGAGGGAGCCAGCAGTTAGAGGTTGGAGAGAGAGAGCGAGAGAGAGAGAGAGCGAGAGATGAGAAAAAGGGGGGTCATAGGGAAAGAAAGATGAGACGGTGAGAGGGAAAGAGAGGAGGGCAGAAAGGGAGGCAGACAAGAAAAGAAAGGAAGGAAGAGTGGGAGAGAGGAAGGCAGGAACAGAGGAAGGAATAGAAGAAGGAAGAAAGGATGGGAGAGAGGAAGGCAACTAGAAAGAGAGAGAGAGGAAGGAAAAAAGG